GCAAAAAAGACTCGATCAATATGGAAAATGGTTAGTTTGACTGGACCAAATTAAAAAGTACCCCGGCCGAGCAAAATTTTAGATTTTCTTTCTTTCTCAGTGATATTGAGTACCAAGCTATTCTGCGTGTCAAATAATGGATACATGCATTTTTTGGTGATGAGAATATAAGGGAGTATTACTTAAAAAATAAAAAATAATATTGGACCATAATATTATTTTTTATCATGGTGGGTTCTTGGTTTGCCAAGCTTGGCACGACTCACTTAACACTACTGTGTTTAACTTTAAACACCGTAAACACTTAAATTGACCTTTTAGACGGCTTTCACTAAAAGCATGTGAATAGATGAAATAGTGGGTTGACTTATGAAACCTTTCTTAGCCTACTCCAAGATCTTTAAGAAGAAAAAGTTCCAATTTTACAAATTGGAGAGGAGATATCCAGAAAGAAGGGTAAGCAAAGATCAAGTATGACAATACAAGAACAAGTCAGACTAACTCGTTTATTTACTATTAAACTCTTTATAATTTATCATGTAACTCTTTTGGCATCAATAGTGTATCAGTGTAGGAATGAATGTTGGTATTTTTACATCTACTTTGAATTTTTTGCATGTACACTTTTTCTCAAGTATTTATTACTGCTCGGGAAAACCATCTTTATAAGTTGAGGTGACAACGACTATTTATCATTGCTGAAAAATTCTTCTAGTAAGTGGAGATGCAGTATTTTTTTAGATTATTTAGAGATATATGACAAAATTAGATTTAAAAAAGATGCATACTTTATGTCCCATCGGCGACAATGGATGTCTCTATAGACTCTATTTATGTTTTAAACATTTATTAATTAAACGAAAATGTTTATCACATTCTTGTTGCCAGCCTATATTAGTATAATAATTCATATAATAAACCCTTCTTTATTCAAAATTTACTACTTTTTACACAGTAGAAAATGAAACACAAAAAATGCTCACACATTGATGTATTTTGGACAGCGCATATCACTTCCACATGCGGGCCCTATTAAAAGACAAAATAGACCAAAATCCCTATAATTCCGTCCTTATCTCAGCTAAACCCCAAATTACGGGGCTCCATTTTCAAATGAAAGCAAATTTCTTTCTCCATCTTTGATTCTAGCAAATTCCTGCATTGTTGGAATCGTAATAGAGTTCAGAATCTTCGTCTCTTTCACTAATTGAGGGTTAAGTACAGCACAAAATGTGGACCGTAAAATTTCATTATGTCCCTCTCAATCAGTACTAGCTGCACTCAGTGATCCTTTGACAACCACACTTGGAACGTATGTCATTAAGCTTGATTTCTTCCTTTTCAACAAGTCATAGACCCAAATTGTCGACCCGGTAAACTATTGATCCGGACCCTAGGCCAGGCCGGACAATATCATATTATGCAAATGTAAGTGGTCCGATCAAAAATAGGATTTGACCGAGTCGATTAGCTGGTTTTATACAATTGTCGGGCTAGACCTATCCAGTATTAATTTTTTTAACAAATTTTAAAACTTTTTTCCATTAAAATTTTAGGGAACAAAGATTTGAACACTTGACCTATGGCTAACTAAGCATAAACTTACCACTAGAGCACCCAACACTTTGTTGTCTTTTGTGTAATATAAACTATATCTAACCTATGAATAATTTGCTTTTTATAGAAATATTTTTAAAAAAATTAGTCCAAGTTTTCATTCATTTTGTAATATCAAATAATTATTTTATAAAATTATTTAATTTTAAAAAATTAATCTTAACTATGATAAATTTAATTAAAGTACACATAAATTTTTGGTCAATAACTAACAAAAAGAGAAAATATACTTTTTTAATATTATAATCAAAATTATAAAATCAAAATGTAATCATTATAATAAACGAGTTCAGAAAATCTTTAATTTAAAGGTACAAAAATAATTAATGACGAAGAACTTGAAAATTTTAATTGTTTTAAACAAAAAATATATAAAATTATACTTTAAATACAATTAAATTATAACCCACCGATCCGACCCCAGGTTCACCAGTTCGACCAGTAACCCAATAATCCATTACCTTGATTGGATTGATATTCAAATCGGGTCTAATAACTATGCATCTAAGTCATTTTAAAATCAATTGGCAATCTTAGTAGGGAAAACTACACATGCAACAAATGTAGCTATGGCAATCATCCTTTTAAGAAAGCTCTTACACATTTCCAAATTCTGTTATCTATAGATTTTAAGAAAGATCTCATTTTCACTTTTCATTAAGTATAATTGCTTTCTTCAAAATATGAAGGTACATTTAGTGATTGACTCATCTAAATGAAATGCATCTACAATCAATTTTAAACTCTGATACCAATTAAAATATCAAAGTTCGATCTATTAACACCTAGAGGGGATGAATTGGAGATTTATACGGAATTTAAGTTTATCAATATTTAAAGCAACAAGTCATAATAAATATTTTATCAAGATGAATTCACTTGCAAATCTAACCTTTGTTGAATTACAAAGTTTGTAATTTGCAGAAAAAATAACACCAATAATTGATGACGAAGAAAAACCCTTGCGGGATAAAAAAACTCAAAACCTAAATCATTAAAATTCACCATAAACATATTAACTTACAGTATGGTCCATATTTGACCAACTTGTAGAACTCTTTGACCTCCTAACTGTAAACACCAAGGTACTTCTGAAATCGTCTATCTCTTGCGGATCATAGAGAACTCCTCATTCTCCTTCAATTGGAATTCCAGTCACTTTCCTTCATCTTTAAAACCTGACAAATATTTAGAAAGTGGGTGGTTTAATGTTCTGAGAATTGGGATTTCAATATTTTCAATGTGTGGTTAATAAACTTAATGTAAGGAATTGACGTAGGATATCCAACAGATAAATTCTAGTAAGAATATAATGATCAACCACCCCTATGGACAAAATATAACTTGGGTTTATGTAGTAGAAGAATATGATGATCAACCACCCCTATGGACAAAACATAACTTGGGGGTATATATAGTAGAAGGTGTTTGGGGTTATTTTAGGTATCAAAAAATTGTTTAAAATGCAATCTAGGATTTCCAGAAAAAGTTGGAGTGCTAGGCGAGTGCTGGGCTGATGCTCGAGCAAAACACTGGCATTAGGTAAGCGTTATACTCACTGTTTTGGGCGCTCGAGCATAGCATTGAGCAAGCATTAATGAGGTGACTTGATCTCCTTGTTCTATACTTGAATCCAACTAATTGATTAGAAAATATGTAGTATTACACAAATTCTCTAATGTAGATGCATACCTGTAACAATGACATTCTTTGATCATCGTTCCATAAAATAGGCCACTTTATGTTCCATTGCATCTAAGATTCAAGGAAATATTCTAATCTAATAATAGAGCGGCTATCAAGACTTCACGATTCCCAAGTGATCGAGTTTAGTATGAATTTGCTATAGAAATTTCTCCCGCTCCAGACTTTTTATTATTTCATATGCAAATGCGATTTTTCCCTAACGTCTTCACAAATTATAAGTAGTTCAAGCCCAATAGAAAATTAAGATTGGACCAATCTTTACACATATCCCAATGTCATCTCACGTGATCTAGGAATGCCCTCCCCATTACTCACTCCTCAAGTGGGATGTGATTAAAAATTAGGGGGGTTTGTTTTTCATTTTCGTAAAAATAAGAATAAAAAATATAGTCGTTATGAATCCCACACAATATATAGAAATTTAAATTTGGTGACTTAGTGTGATGGATAATGATCATATTTTCTATTTTAATGAGAAAAAAATGAGAAACAAACAGGAGCTAAGTAATGCGATCTAGTATCATTGAGATCATCACATAACGTCGCCTAAATTGGTGTTCTAATAACAATTGTGTTAGATCACGTTATTATTTTTTTAAATATATCAGTTTCCCATCCAATTTAGATATTTATTATTTTTATGTCTTTTTGTTTAAATAAAAATATAAAATAAAGAGTTACGATGCGAGGTGTTCATCAATATACTTCTATCAAATTGTAAAAGGTAATTGTATTTGCGCCATAATAATCTTATAAATGTACTACATTTTAATTGTATTAAAGATCGCTCGTTTTTAATAATGGACACCTATATTGACTTTTTCATTGCTTTCTTAACCCCCAAATCTTTATTAATTAACATATATTGTGTTTTGATGTTTTCGTAAAAATGAAAAAAAAAATAAAAAATTGTCAATGTGCTTTAGAATAAGGTTTTGTTTAATTGCACTCCAATTTCATGAAAAATGGAAATCAAATTCCATCTTTTCAATTTTTTGTTGTTTGATTAGCAAAATTTTTCCTAAAATTCGAATTGCACTTTTTACGCCACCTAAGCTAATTTCCATGTTTTCCTTGAATTCCAATTCTTACCAAAATGGTGAGAATTGAAGTTCTCGGTTACTATATCACTTTTTTTTTCGATTTTTTTTGTTGGCAATTGAAACAAATTCTAAGAATTATTATAAAAAAATATTTTTCTTTAAATAACAATTTTCATATAAAACAAATTCAAACGAACACCAAAAGATAGATAATTTTCTTGAAATTTTTGTTTTTTTTTGTATGTTGGCAATAGAAACAATTTTATCCCCAATATCAGTGAAATTTATCTCTTTAATTGACAATTTTCATGTAAAATAAAGTCAAACGGAGATCAAAAAACACTTTTATTTCATATTTTCGACATGAAAAATTATTCCAATGAAACACAATAATTTACAATTTTCAGGAAAACAATTTCTAGGCAATTCAATTTCCTAGAATTCGTTTTCAATTCAATTCAATTTCATCTTTGCAATCAAACGAATCTTAAGATACAAAAAATTCAACGCACTTTTATATTTATTATTATTTTTATTTATTTAATAATAGAGAGGACGAATAAATCTTTTACAAATCGTAATACAAGTTAACATAATTATTATAATAATAATTTAAGTTCTCATCGCGGACAAAGGGAGAGTGGAGTGTTCTGGCAACACATTTCGAACGGACCTCTCTAAAATGCAACACGTTTTCTTTGTCTTCCCATTTTTTTTTATTGAATAATTCCTCTTGAACAGCAGCATTACGGGAAACAGCTCTTCAATTTGAGATTTCCTTATCTTTAACTATTATACGAAATGAAGAGTTTTCTTAGCAAGTTCGAATCCACTCTGCAATTGCTTCACTCCAAAACAATCAGCATACAAATCTTTTGAATCCATTTAAGCCTTCAATTCCTTTTATTTTTAATTTTCGATTCAGAAAACTGACCCATCATTTTTAAGTTTCCGATGCCGGAACATATTCTCAGATCCAAAAGACTTTCTCCTTTGGCAGGTAAAAGTTACATAACTTTAATTTATTTATTTTTTAAAAAACATTGTTGTGCCAGTTGTAGATGATGATGCATTTTATCCCGGTTTGTAATTCAATTTTACTATATATTGGGTTATAAATGCATTTTACAAATTGGGCTTTTCCTAAATGATTTTTGGGTTTTATTAGGGTACTGAATTTTTAATTTTTCAGGTTTCTTGTTGGTATAAAGCTTATGAGCATCATTTGTGTGTGTGTGTGTGTGTGTGTGTGTATATATATATATATATAATTAAAAATTCGAGAGCAATCGAGAAGAAAGGTACTTTTATGTATTTTATGGAAACTTGAAACCAAAAATGGAATATTATTGAATTAATGAATTTGACCAAACTGGGTTTGCTAAGTAATTTGTTGCAGCTGAACAATGCATATGTTACAATTAGGGTGGTAAAGGACAGTCTGAAATGAAGTGCTGTTTTAGGTCGAGGAAATGAACTTGCACTTGCTGTGTATCTATGACCCTGATCCCACATTTTGTAAGTACATTCAGCGGTTTGTTGTGCCGGGATACAGTTGCAGAAGTGAGCAGGCTGCGAGTTTTATATGAATACATACATTGACTCTTTATCATAAGCAATTAGGACCTGGTTGCCACCGCTTCTCGGAGTTGTGAACTTTCTATAATTGTGTGTAGTATTTCTGCGAATTTGTGTAAATAGAAAATCTAATCATTCTTGATCATGCAGTGACAAATGAGTATCAATAGTTCATTCTCATCCTCAACAATGTCTGGGACGAAAACCTTGCAAAGGTGCAGGAACATGAAGGAAGCTGACAATGTTGTTCTGATTGATGTTGATTCTGAGCATTTTGACAGTGTTATTATCATTGATGTTCCTGAGCCTTTGCCAAAGAAATGGAGAGGTTCTAGCATGGTCGAGGAAAAATGGCCATTTAGGTCTGTAATATGCATTGATGATGATGAAAGCTCTGACAACGACCAACATGACGATCACCACCAAAATGTTAGTACAGAAAGCAAGAATGGGCAGCACAAGGAACCCCCAGTTTGTTTTAGTACTGGCAAAACCAGTCCTGGAAATGAATCTCCATCTCCTTTTATTACAGAAGAGGATGCCCCCTTTGATAGCACTTCTTATGGTTATAGAAAGTCTGATGGTCACAAGAGATCACATTCTGGAACCAAAGATCCTCCTTGCAACTATTCTGAGAAGAAAAAGAACCAACATTGTGAGCCAGTAAGTCTCAGCTGTCAGAATGAGGAAAATTTGAACCCTCCAGCATCATCTTATTCTCCTTACCATGGACTGGGAGCTGAGCAAGTTGATCATCCAACAATGGCTTTCCAAGATGATGAGGAAACTCAGATGAACTCTTTACATGGGAAACCTAGTTTAGTAGAGGAAGAAGCTTCTATGTGCAAGCATCAGAACTCTTATGAAACTGACAGTGATGATGTCGGATCTTCTCTAACAGACAAAGAGAAGAAGCATCAGGAGGAGACATTTACTGGTAATATTAAGGAGAAGGAGCATCTGAAGCCTTATGAACCATGTGCAACTAGCAGTGTTAACAAAGAGAATTTAATTGATAATGCAGCACAATTGAAACAGGACAATTCTTCAGTTGCGGCAGTGGAAAATCTTGTTGATTCTGTGTCAAAAAGTATGGACGAGGATGAAGATGATCAAAAACATATTCAGAATGGAGGTACTGCATACAGTGTTGAGAATTGTATCATTACTGAACGTGAAAAACTCAAGGAAACAGATGAATACAAAAGAGCTCTAGAGCAAGAGTTGGCTTCTCGACGACAAGCATTAAAAATTGAGGTCTATTAGTTCACTGTATTTTTTCTTTATATTACTACGTATATGTTTTATTTTGATAGAATTATTATGCTTAATTTGTTGTGTAGTTTGTTGAGAAACTGAAGGGATTCCTATGGCAAGTTTAAAACTTCAACTTAATTTCAATTTCAATAGTTTAATGTTTATCAGACTGTTCTTGCTTTGGACCTTATCATCTTGGCTAAAGCATATTGTGTTTTGCACCTTGATCAGGCTTTTGGTATTGTCTGGGTTGGACTCATTTCCACTCAGAGTTATAGAAGCTTCCAGCTGTTGAATGAATAGTTGAGATATTGTTCATTTGCATGGGACTGAAGGGAGGGTAGAAGATTATGCGTCTTGTGTTGCTAGCCAATTCTGGGGAGTTTGCCTGTCAAAAGCATCTTTTAGATAGGTAGCATGCTATTCAGAGACGGGAATGGAAAATGAATAAAACAGAGTAAACAAGAGGAAAATATCTGTTGCTTGTGTACTGTTACTCTCATCTGTAGCATCAAAGTTGTTTGATAATCAGTTAATATCAAAGCCATTTCAGGAAATCACGTTGCATTGAGCATGACATGCAATGGCTTTTGCTCCCTGCATCTTTTGGGTTAATGTCAATAGTAATATCTCGGATAAAGAAATAGGTTGTATTTAATACATGTAGGCTGAAGAAGCACAACGCTTGCGGCAGTTGCGGAGGAGAAAAAAAGAGGAAAGCATACGGTTACAGGACATGGCCAATAGACAAAAGAAGCGTGTGGAGGAAGTACGAGAGACTCAAAAGAAGGTTTTTGAAATTCTTCTCTTTCCTCAATAGTTACAATCCATTTGCTAGCTAATTTATGAAGGCATATTAACAAGTTACTTTTTCCTTTTAATTGGCCTGGAGCTTTCGTAACAATGTGGATTCTTCATTAATTTACCTTTTAGGATGTGGAAAATCTCAACTTGAAGGAGGTAATACGCTCTCAGGTCAGGAAGGAGCTCAAGAAACTGGAAATGACATGCTGCAATATGGCTTCGCTGTTGCATTCTCTGGGAATCCCTGTGGGTGGTTGGCCTTGTCCATCATCAAATGAGGTTGGTGAGACTTGTTACACTTGTTTAATATATATCAACCATTGTCACTATTGTGTGACAAGTGGTTAATGATTCTGCTTGTTTAGTGGATAACCTTATGGAGATCTGGGCGATGCCACTTTGACAGAAGTGGTTGACAGATGGAGCGATATAGCCCCCGTTTGGTAGCAATTTTTCATCCCAAAAAATCAAAATTTTGATCATTATTCACTATTCCAAGCTTCCAGCCGTCATTTTTTATTTTTTCACTCATGAATAGAACTCCTTTTTCTCTCTAATGGTCGAAAAATCAATTTTCATAATCACTTACGAACAGACCCATGATATGATTGGGATGAAAAAGTTGATTGTGTTTAAAATAGTCCAATGACGAAATATTATGTGCCATTATGTCAATGTAGTATGATTCTGGAGCTATAGCTCTTTTTACGAGCATAACTGTTAAATTACGATGAATAAATTAATATTACCTTGTCATTTTTTAGCAATGTCATTTTTTCTGCGGTTTTATCCTAGAAGGGTTTATTTAAACCAATTATCTAAGCACTCCCTTGAATTTGTGGGCTATTTTCTAAGTTTGCAATAAAGTTATAGAAAATTTAGTTCTAATCAAGGGAAGAGGGGGATGTTGATTATTTTTTGGTGTCATTTTTTGACCATGTAGAAATGTTGATTATGTACGTTTTATCCTAATGTGGTTAGGGTTAATTCCCCCGTCTTATGATTTAGTGCTTGTTTGGGATTGCTTTGAAGTGTTCATAAGTTGTGGGTCGGTCCTATGGAATGTGTGGATAATAGTGGATTCTACAGAATGTGTGGATAGAAAATATGTTTGATCGACTTAAATAAAAAAGTTAAGCTTTGTCAAACATGCTATTAGTGTTCAGTGGTCATATTTGTGGATGTTGATGACTTCCAACTATTACTGATTTTCATCTTTGAAAACAAAAGAATTAATTATTTTAAAGTTCACTTATTTACTTCTAAACAAATTTTAAGCTTAGTCAAACATGCAATTGGGGATTGATCGCTGACATATGAGGAAATTCAGGTACAAGCAGCTTACAAACGAGCATTGCTGAAGTTTCATCCAGATCGAGCTCCGCAATGTGACATTCGTCAACAGGTTGAAGCTGAGGAGAAATTTAAGCTTATAAATCGTCTCAAGGAGAAACTTCTACCTTCTTGATAACGTTTGAGCAAGTTAATCATTATTGCATCGTAAACCATAAATTCTTCATAGAGTTCAAGTCTCCTCGTAAACATGCTTTCCATGCTTGTGATATTTCGAGAAAGAAGCCATTAGTTAGTTATCAATTAGGGTCTTTTGTGGTTGGAAAGCATTCTTTTGTTTGTAAATTAACTGATTATTTACTCCTATGTGATTTCCCTATGATTGGCTCGACATTTGTTGAACTTATGTATGTTGGTTGAAGAAATGGAAAGTATTCGTTACTTTCGGTTGGTACATTTTATTCATATGATAAATGTTTGTGTTAATATTTTTCATCTAAGATTAGAACAATTGATTAGTTTAAGAATTATGCTACTTGTATAGAAATATGATACATGAGGGATTACATAAAAGGGAAATGCTATGTGGTGTACATAGAGTATTACATCCCCCCTCCCCCCCCTCCCCCAACATGAAGGTGGGTCCATATAGAATAAAATATTTGTGGGCCCCTTCTGTGTGGGGGTGTAATTCGTTGTGTACACCATAAGGTGCAAATAGAATTATCCTATCCTACATAAAATGATATGGGAAGAAAATGTCGGATGAAAAAGTTGATTATATTTTATACTGACAAATGATAGAGTGACATACGGTATTATGTAACATACTATGTAAAGTTTAATGTACATGTAGCAATGTCCTTAGTTTAATATTTATCATGCTAGCTTGTTCTCAAAAATATTTTAATTTTCATCTTAGTCGTGTTAGAATTGGATTTGTGTTTGAAACAAGTTGAATTGCACTATGAAAACTAGTCCTAACCAACTAGTTAACGGAATTAAACTAATCTCCTCATTAAACACTAATTTGGTCCTAGTCTTAAGCCCCTGTTTGAGTTTGTTAAAAATTAAATTTTAAGTAGATTATAATAAAAATTGATGGAATGTGTAATTGAAAAATATTGATAAAAATATGAATTCCATAAAATGTGCAATTCAAATTAATCGTAAGGTTTAGAATCTTATCAACTTGTTTTACATACACCAAACAGGGGGCAGAGTTGGAGTGGAGATAATAGATTATGACATAATTGAATTAGACAACAAATCAAGTCCTAAACCTGTCCATATTAACATATTAATGTACCATGCCCTATGTGAGCCATAATCCTATTTTACACACAGAAAGTTAGGAAAATAGGTAGAAAGAGAAAATAACACAAGAAAGACGAAGGAAGATTTCAAGATACATTCACGGTCCATTTGGTAGGTCTTCTACTTCTTGTAACAAAGTTTTCTGAAAAAGTTATCTTAACCCAATTATCTCTAAAATTCTTCTAATAGACAAAATATTTTTAAAAAATTATCCAAACACATTTAAAAATAACTTCTTAGTCTTGAAAACAACTTTTAACTTCATAAGTCTGATCAAATGGGTCACCAATTCATTCTTTCAAGTGTCCATTCTATTTTTTATTTATTTTTATTTTTTTATTTTTAAGTCATTATACCATTTGGGTTTCATTTTTTTCTCCCTGAAATTTTACCTTTTACAGTTAGACAATTAATTTTACCACATATTTCGTAGGTCTACTCACTTATCATCCACTTATTTCTTGAAATGCAAAATTACTTCAAAAGTCTTATCAAACGGTTCATCAATTCATTCTTTCAAGTGTCCATTCTTTTTTTAAAAGTCACTATGCCATTTAGGTTTCATTTTTTTCTCCCTAAAATTTTACTTTTTATAGTTAGACAATTAATTTTACCACATATTTCGTAGGACTACTAACTTATCATCTAGCTTTCATGTTTTTATATTCTTAGAAACTGACACTTTTTATGGAATTTGTAAGTGAGTTGAGATAGTGATCTTGTGATTACACTGTTAGAATTTGGGTGTGATCTAAATTTTTTGGTGAGAATAATTGAGAGTTTTAATTAAAGTGTACCGTAAGAAGATTCTATTTGGAATCCTATTTGAAGTTTATTGACAATTTCTAATTGAAGTTCTATTTGGAAGCTTTATTGGGAATTGGAATTTGTATTGGATGATAAGTATATTTTATATACTTATTTAATATCTAAAAAGCAATATTTGATTGTTATTTTGACAAACGATATCCTAAATTTTTGTATTTTACGTTTAATAGGTAAAACTTTATAAACAAAAAGGAATTGAAGGAAATAAGTAAAAAGGACGAAAAATGAAAAAATCCAAAGTAGGGGTACTAAATTAGTCGTGGATGAAAGTCGAGGACTTGAAGAAAATAATAAATTAAATAGGCCTCATTGTTGGACTTGTATAGGATTCAAATTCATTAACAATTAGGAATCCAACTTACACAAAAAGTGGGCTGGAAGCCTGGAAGACACGGCCAAAGTCAAGTAATTGAAAGGGAAAGAAAATGAGAGTCCATTTTTAGTCAAATATTGTGGCTGCTAGGTTAATATATATACTCACATGCATGCAGATACAAAGGGAGAGATTAACCTACAGAAGAAGAAACGGCAGCTTGGACGCTGCCATAATTGAGAGATATTCCATACGCACATTGTTTGGGAGAGAAGAGAAATTAAGCGTCTGCCTTGTGAAATTAGAGAGGAGTATACGCACAGAAAGAGGGGTTGAATTTGCATGATATATACACACAAAAACACAAAAAATTGAGGGAACACAGCTGCTGAATTTGGGGAAGCACATACAATTTTCGGCAGCTTGGAAAACAAGAGAGAAAAGAGTGGAATAGATACGCATACAACTGCCAGCTGCTGATATATATTATATACATACATAGGCTGCTGGGATTATATACAAAACACACGACCATTGGGCTGAGATATTGGAGAAGAATTGGATTTTGTTTTGAGAGCCAAACAGGGCGGCTGTGAGCATCATAAAGACATAAAAGGCTGCTGAAATACAAACATATATACACGGTTGTTTAGGGTCGGCCCTGAAAATTTAGAGGCCCTAGGCGTTTAATTAATATGAGGCCCCTCAACACAAAATTTATTTTACAAGTCTAACAATATGTAAATATTTAAATAATTAACACTTTTATATTAAAAAGAAAACTTTATACAATTCAAAAGATGGAATAGCAAAATAAAACTTCTTTCACAACTCGAAAGATTAGACTAGCATAAGATTTAACATTCTTACATTTTGAGATGTAAAATTAGTAATCAAACTACTAATATCAAGTTTTTCCAACATATTTTTTTAATAGAAATCATAGCTAATCCATTCAATCGCTCTTGTGACATGGATGATCGAAGATAAGTCTTAATCAATTTCAACTTTGAAAAACTTTTTTCAGCAGAGGCAACTGTGACAGGAATGGTCAATAATACTCTGTAAGCAATCCAGGCATTTGCAAAACAACAGTTCATTCTCTTAATATAATCCAATACATCAATTGCTCCAAATATGTTTTCAAATATCGCTTCCCTTAAAATTTTCAACTCAGAAAATTAATCTGTTCCATCAATATCAGAAATCGTATTATGATTTAAGTAATTTTCAAATTTAATGCAAGAACACTTCAAAACATCATCATCAATAAATTTAAGTCTTTTCAAATCAAATAAAAATCCAAAAATATCATCATATTTCTGAAATTACTCAAATCTATTCTCAAATGATGATAGAGCTCGATCCACTATATATAAGAAATAATTGATCTTAAAAGATTTTTCAGCTGTTTGTGTTATATGTTCAGAAGAAGTCTCATCAAACTGTTTTTTTCTATGTATAACCCTTTTTCACGAAAGATCGGTTCAATTTCTAATTCACTTGTAATCTCTTTAGCATCTACCATGGCCGATTCAAAATCAGATTCTCTATAACTTTTGAAAAATGAAATGAGGCCTTTTAAATGGTCTATAGCAACATCAATATGCATGTCTTCCGCTTGCAAATGTTTGCTTACTCTGTTAACATTATTCAATAATTCATACCAAATAATCATCCCAAGTAAGAATTCAAAATTGTCAATTTCATATGTTGCCAAACACTCCACTTTTTGTCTTAGGATCATCAATATTTGCTAATTGAAGTAACGCTTTTTTTATCTGCGGAGCTTGAAATCTTATCGCTCTAACACTTTCAATATGACTTTCCCACCGAGTTTGTGACGAGGGCTTAATGGTAAGACCAGTTACATTCTCTTTGAAAATTTTCCACTGTTTAGTAGATGAAGAAAATAAAGTGTATATACGTTGCACCACCCCCAAAGAAAGATTTAGCTTTTGAACAACAAGTGGCCATATCACAAAGTGCAAGATTAAGACTATGACATCCACAAGGACTGTAGAATGCTCTAGGATTTAGTTGTAATAATCTACTTTGAACTCCTTTATGTTGTCCTTTCATGTTAGCACCATTATCATAGCCTTGACCCCTTACATCATCAATATCAAGTTCTAAATTATTCAAAGCATCCACTAGTTCATCAAAAAGTCCCTTACCTGATGTATCATCCACCAATAAAAATCCTAAAAAGAATTCTTCAACCTTCACTGGACTTGCCGAAATATCTACACACCTCAATATTATAGACATTTGTTCTTCATGACTTGTATCTGGAGTGCAATCAAGAATAACAAAAAAGTATTTAGAATTTTTGAGTTTCTCAATGATTATTTTTTTTATCTCGCCCGCTAGCATAAGTATCAGCTCATTCTGAATTTTGTGTCCTAGATAATGATAATGAATCTCTTTATTTTTTATTCGACAAACATGCTCTTGCATTACGGGATCGAACTCAGTAATCATTTGAATCATGCTTAAGAAGATACCATTATTTTCTTGATATATCTTCTTATTATCCCCACGAAATGCTAAATTATTTTTAGCAAGAGTTTTCACCACAGATATTATTCTCAGTAATACTTGTCTCCAATGTTCTCTATCTCTATTGATTTGTTCTTGCACACTTTTATCAATTGTTTGACTCTTTTCGAAATCTTAATTCCATTTCTATCCATTTACTCATGTTATTGATGTGGTCACAACTCACTTCATGCATTTTAAGCTTTTCACCAATATTTTTCCAATCATTTATTCCATCATGTGCCAATTGAGTTCTGATCCCATCATTCTTAAATAGCTTACAACAAAAGCAAAATACTTTATCCAAACTTTTTGAATATATCAACCATTTTCTATCATACGTCTCTCCATTAGGTAATCTTCGAACGTAATGTATGGATAGAAGTGTTGATTTGCTCTATTTTTTGGAAAAATCATATCATTTTCTCTTACAAGACCTTTCAATACAATTAAATCTCTTAAATTCGTATTCATATTTCCCCAATTTGCTGGATCAATAAGGTCGAGAGAAAATGGTTCATTATCTTTGTCAGTAGACACCTCTTCATTCATCACACAGTGTCCTTTCTCAATTGTATTATTTTTGTTATCATTCTCTGTTAGACATTATGTTGTCAAACGACCTCCCGGGCGATGATGAGAACCAATTTTATCAGTCAACATGAATGACTGAACGATAATTTAACATCGAATAATGGATGAACCGACCAAACGTTGCTTTACCTATTGGACGGCTAATACTCTTTGTGGCTTGTTGATTCTTTCCATTGGAAGTTAACCCTAGTCGAGCCTGCTTACCATATCCCTACTTACCTTATGTTGGCCATTTGACTTACTATATATATTGGTGTTTTCATCCTAGTTAAACCGGTCCATTAGTTGAAGCTGTGAGATAGAGAAACTGTCGTGTTCTGCCGTGTCCTTCTGCCTTCATATTCTTCGTGATTTCTTCTCCATCCCAATTGCTTGAGTCTTTGTGAAACTTACCTGAGTGGTATCCATCCTAAATGTGTGGATTGAATCAACAAAGCAAAGGAGGAAAGCAACCATAGGAGGAAGAGGCGCCGGCGGCTTTGGTGACTCCAAATTGATGTTGAATTCGATTTTAGTTGAATTCGATGTTTAATGGTTAACTGAGCCCGAAAATCACTTTGAGCAGCTTAAAGAAGATCCTAACATCTGGTATCAGAGCTTGGGTAGCAAAAAACGGCTCAAGATCGGCTGATTTTCGCATCTTCAACCTAGAACCCGAATCTGAAAATTTGCAATTACTCACAAACCAAAGCTCGGTTGGACAAACGGAGGCCATACCCATCATCAGCAGGTTGAGGCGCTCCGGGAGAGGCGGCGCGTGGCGGCGGCGGAG